CGTACGTCGGTCGTCTCTCTCTCTCTCTCTCTCTCTCTCTCTCTCTCTCTCTCTCTCTCTCTCGTGCGCACGACATATTAGAAAAAGAAAAAGAAGAATGTCATCCCAGTGTTCAAGGACTCTCTCTCACAAAGACGGATCCATATTCTCTATATCTCTTACTCTACATATAAGATAAGAAAAAAAGAAGATGATCTTTAGGAATTTCATGCGAGGCCTTATACACGCGTGCAAGCCAACACACACACACACCCAACATAAACTCCCAAAAAAAAAGGGCCACCCAAGTATCTAGCGGCCACCTCCACCTTATTTTGGCATTGGAGAGACAAATGAATGGTAGGGTCTTCATAAACAAATATACCCAATCACAATAAAAGTGAGCAACAGAAAAGAAAGCGTAAGTTATATCAAGAAGTCGTAACATGTTTTATATTACCTCATCAGTTAGAATAGGCTGGTGTCGACTTTTTGCATAATGAATATACTTTTTAAGGAATTTAATAGTAAGTGCATTTTGTCTTGATCGTCTACTTCTTTTCTCTCCATGAAGCAGTCTATTGTACTTCACAAAAATGGATGTGGCAGCTTCTGCATCATCTTCTTCTTCAATATCTCTAAAATTCTCATCAAGTATTGAACCTGTGAAAAGCTTAGAAATTTCTCAAGGTACCCCACAAACATGGCCATCATTTTGTTTTTAATTGTTAACATGGCCATAATTTTTATGTGACTTTTACATCCTATGCATCATGCATGTATTACCTCCATCTTCATTTCTAGAACGGTATCGATGCATGCGTAAGACATGTTCTGCAATCCGCTGGTCAATCTCAGGGTCCATTTGGTCAAGCACAATAAACAGCAAATCAAAACGAGAAAGTAATGAATCCGGAAGGCCAATATTTTTAGTTGGAGTCAAAGAGCGATCATACTGCATATTTAAGGGGAAGATTAGTACAAAAGAACAAACAAACTACAAATCATTGACAAAAAATGGGTGGAAAGCTATAGTATAGACCCATTACAAATCATTCACAAACAATACCTCAGGTGGAAAACTATAACATTGGGGTCATCACTGTCTGCTGAAATGATGGAGGTGGGAGAGGGAATGCGAACAACATTTAGACATGTCCAGTCTAATGATTCACATTCTCTCCATCAGTGTCTATCATTTCATCAGACAAGCATGACCCAGTCGACTATCTTTTGGCTACTTATGATCCAATGGACTTTCATTTGGCTAATTATGATAGACTATGTAAACCACGCCCAATTGACTACAGTTCCAGAGTATATTGAACTACAGAAGGCAGTTCACGACTTCAAGTGAAGCTATCTTAACAAAAACAATAAGAACTCACAGTCCCATAGATAGGGTTGGCAGCTGCAACCACACTACATCTGGCATTTAGTGATGCATGGATACCGGCTTTGGCAATGGTTACTGTTTGCTGCTCCATTACCTCATGAATGGAAACGCGGTCTTGATCACTCATCTTATCAAATTCATCAATACAAACAACCCCTCGATCAGCTAGAACCATAGCGCCAGCTTCTAGCCTTCTCTCTCCTGGTCAAGCAACTTCACCAATAAGATCCTCACAAATCACCAAAAGCAAGAACGTAATGAAACACTAAAATCCACAAAACATAATTAGTAAAAAAAAAAAGAAATGTTAAAATATCAAGAAAGAAGAACCCAAGAAAACTTACCAGTTTCCTGGTCAGAAGTGACAGCTGCAGTCAAACCTACACCAGAGGAACCCCTGCCCGTGGTGGATATGGCTAATGGAGCAATATTCAGGATAGCCCTTAAGAGCTGAGACTTAGCAACAGATGGATCACCAACCATCATCATATTTATGTCACTGCAATTATTTGACAAACATCAGAGGAAGAAAACGCTACAAGTGAAGAACCATTAAGGTCTGTTTGGCTCAATGGAAAAAATTTGTTGAAAATTCCAAGAACAGATGATTGAGGGCTCTCAGGAGGGAGACAGCATTGGGTTTGTAGGAGAGTGAAATGATTGGGGGGTGAACAAAATTCATTTTAAGAGAATAAATTTTCCACCTATTTACTTAAAAAATCTTTTCCCCAATAAAGAGATAAAAACAGCGATGACAGGAAGGTTTCTGCCCCCAATTACTTTTCAAGGACAGAAATAGGCCCTAAAAGACAATAAGAGCTATCAATCACGTCAGACTAGGTGGTTTTCTAATAGTAAAATGTAATACCCTCTTAAGTGGGTGCCATTTTTGAGGTTTTTCTCCACACCACTGAGCATTAGTAAAATTACGGCCTTCTTTATCCACGAATGCCCACAGATTGACGGAGCCAGAGATTCCCCAAGTAAATCAAATGCATCAGCTCTTTTTCCTATTTTTTTGATGTTTGATATGTCTTCAGTAGTGAACACAGGGGCGTTTATCTCTTTATTGAGCAGAGCTACATTGTTCGCAATAAGAACAGTTCTACAAAAGAAACCAGGCACCCATGGTCAGGGAAAGATCAAACCAAAACAAAAACAAACAAAAAACAAAAATTCAGCAATGGATTCAAGCACGATTTACTAGAGAAAAAGAGTGGGGGGAGGGGAGAGCTCACGCACCGAGAGAGAGAGAGAGAGAGAGAGACAGAGAGAGAGAGAGAGACAGAGACAGAGACAGAGAGAGAGAGACCTGAATGATCCATTGATGCTTCCCTTGCTTTTGCCAGGAAGAGCTTTATAGATTCCCGAGATCACCACACGGTCACCAGGCTTGCATGAATCCACCAGATCATCCTCCCCTATAACATCAACCGTCCTTGGAAGCTGACCAGGGGCAGAATTTTCAGGCACTTCTTGCATAGATAAAGTTTGATGGTCCTTGTACTTGCACAAACCAAATTCTGTGACCAACAAATTCCCGTGTTCATCCTACAACAAAATTTCGTGGCCATTTATTATCCATACTTAGTATTGATAGCTCTCTAAAACTTGTAATTGAGAGCTATGAATTGTGAACTTCAAAGAGCTATAAAATAGAAATGTTTGCCCTATGTCAAAACTCTGAACAGAAAAATTATGTGCTTACACGAGTAGGATACACAGATCCTGTGGGCAAGCCCACATTGGATGTGATGTCACGATATTCACGTGTTGTAAAGTCCCCAGTGGTAGGGCAGAAATGCACACTTTTGACTACCTTTGGCCGAACCAGGGAACCTGCACCAAAATATAAGATTACCTGCCATCCTATTATAGCCATTATACAACAAACTATGAACACCAAAAAGGAAGGATAAAGCAATAGCATTTCAACTTTTCTGGAAGCACGGCACTGGACAAAAAATTCCCTAAATTCAGGGAACCTCAATTTGTAGTTCCATTAATATTACACTGGGCCAATGCAACATTCATTCCATAAAGGAACCCATATAAGAAACATGAATACAACCAAAGTGATATAGTCGGAAAAATGATCTAATGATGATGTTGATGATGAATATAACCAAGTGATCTAGAGTCCCTTGGTAGAATGTAACCTTCACTTTTAGAATCACAAACCTCAGGATAACTAAGTTGGTGGGGTTAAAAAAATTTGGAACTGCCCTATTTGCCACTCAGTCCCTGCATAGAGTCTAATGCAAACACAATACACATTGCAATCAAAATGGTGAAAAAAGAAGAACAGCATATGAAAAGCAAAACTATAAAATGTTTGGTTTTGAAGTGGTCAATTCTCTGCTTCTGACCAGAGTGTAACTGAACTATCACAAAAGAAATTTGTATGGCATAGTTAACAATTATGCCTCTAAAGGGATAACTTCTCTATATGGTGTTTCACCCCTCTACAGAACTCCAGGAAATAAATATCCAAAGTTGTCCCCAAAATTCTCATTAAATGAGACAGAAGAAGCACTAAATGGGTGTAAATAAAACATTGAATATGTTTAGTGCCACCAAAATACACTTGCTGCTAAATATCCATGAAACTATGGTAGCTCAAACTATTACACAATAAACCCCAGCAGCATTTTCCTTTATCGGAGGAAAAGCAAGTTAAATGAAATTTTGAACAAAATAGCAGAGCACGTTACTTCTTAAATTGATGAGAAACACCAAAAGAAGAGGGGTGGGGGACGTGCAAGACCAACCCCAAAGTGAAATAAACAGAACAAGCACTTGAGTAGCCCAGAGAAGAAAAAAACGTTTCTGCAAGTTCAGAGCCACAAAAGAATCACTTTTCTGCTAATTTCCCATGTGTTTATTGCAATTTAGAGTATTAAAATACACCCAAACTATGAATTTTCCCCAGCTGGAAAAGAAACCTACTTAATTAAATAACGAATGTGAAGTAAAACAGAATAAGAACTCAAGTGGGGCAGCCAAAGAAACCTTTCTACGAGTTTAAAGCCACAAAGGAATTCCTTTTTCTGGTAAATTTTTATATATTTATTGTGGTTTAGAATATTATAATAAACCCCGACTAAGCATTATCCGTGATTGGACAATGAGACCTAGTTATCTGAACTGAACAACAAAGCAGATTGGTTCTTAAATTAACAAGGAATACCATATCAGAGGGAAAGAAGAGTGTTTCCCAAAAGTCTATCCATATTCCCCCATAATCTGAAGTAATGAACAAATCAATCGAAGGAGTACATATAAACTAAGCAAAAGCACTCACATTTTGTGACAATGCCTTCAACACAAACCATGGTGCCAAGAAATGGAGAGAGAAGCTCTCTAGGAGTGACCTTATGGAAACCAAATGGACCCTCAAAACCCATAAGAACATTCTGCCCTTCCTGCAAATATTTAGGGTTTATGCTCCTTGTCACCTCCGTGAGTGCATCTGATAATGGCTGAACGTACTCTCCAGGGCTCCTCAGAAGACTGAAAACAAAAAAACAACAATAAAAAAGCCCTTAAAATGCAGAAAATGAGCCATGTGAAGTTCTCTTAGATGCCCATAGAAGAGATTATTTCGAAAACAATATATGGGGAGAGAGAGAAAATAGAACAGACCTGCGAACTAAGGCGGGATTGTAATTTCGAATATCGGAGATGTCAACAAGGAGTCGATGGCGTCCTTGGTTGATCATTGACCTAATCTTGTCCATGTATAGACCCCTGCCCGCCTGCTCAAAAATGCCCATGGTTAGACAAAGAGAGATGAGAGAGAAACTTTAGGGTAAGAAATAAGGGGAGCCTGAGAGTCTCGGAAAAAGGTTTTACATCTTCATCCAGGAAACGCAGGAATTCTGCTTTATGCCTCGACATCGCCTCATCGCTGATATCCATTGTTACTGAGAAGGAAGAGCCTCTCTGCAGAGTGGTGAGCAAGAGACTTGAAGAGAGAGAGGACTGTGCCTCCGCTGTAGAGAGAGAAAGAGAGAGAGATGACACAGTGGTCAGTTTTGCACATATGATCTCTCTTTGGCGGGAAATGGGGTTGATTGGCGGGAAAAGAAAAGGGCAAACTGTGTAAAAAGGGCGAAGTTTATATCGTGCCTAGGCTCTAAACAATTAATTAAATTAGAGCATACCTCAAAATATCATCAAATTGATCATCTCGATATTAAAATACATGGACATATTATCTACATCGTTTACTACGAAAAATTTAAAAAAAATAAGTCCCAGAAATGATGCATTTTACAACATATTAATTTTACAACCTATTATTTACATCGTCTATTTTCAATATTTTCATATGTTTATAAATCTACTTGATTTTAAGTATTTTTGAAATTTAAAATTTTATAATTAGATATAAAAATAGATTTTGAGATAATCCTAAAAATATTTTTCATCAAAATTATATACCATAATAAAATTTGAAGGTGCACCTTACCTCTACACCTATGGATGAATCCGTATGCAAACCATACCCTAAAAAAATGGATTTCAAGTTTTGGAAATAGGGTATTTTGTAACGTATTTTTTATTCTTAGTTTCCATTACTTTCAAGTTTTCATGGATCAGCTCGATCTACATTATTTTTAAAGCTTTAAATTCATTAGCATTAATTTTGTCATATATTTTTGTTCTTTGTGGATGGCCTGGGGCCTCGTGATAATATTGTCGAACCCCATGATGAGATCCTTGACTATATTCTCACCAAAGGGTAGGGCCCAAATCCCTACTGACTTATCACTTCCATCTCTCTTGGTGTTACATCGAATAACTATGCGGAATTTTGTGCTTTGGAAGATGGTGTTGACTTAGCTATCCCGATGGATTGATTTCCTTACATAGCGATCCAGATGGATTGTTTTCCTTATAGATTGAAAGTGATTTGTTTTTTCTTGTACAAGTTATTCAATGCTGCTGCAAATCTCCTTGGGCACTTCATACTATAGCTGCTAATTGTCAATTTAGACTTGCAAATCGTTTATGGTCTATCTGTCATGTTTATCGTGAGGCTGCAAATCTCTTTAGGCACTTCATATTATAGCTGTTAATTGTCAATTTAGACTTACAAATCGTTTTTATGGTCTATCAGTCATGTTTATCGTGAAGCTAATATGATGGCTTACGTACTTGCTGAAAATGCTATAGTTTTTTCCAGCGTTTTAAAAAACGTCGAGTCGAACCGGACTCGCCCGGTTCGACTCGGAAAAACGTGAAAAGGGACCGGATCGCCTAAAAAATCGGAAATCGTCCGGTTCTAGAGAGAACCGGACGATTCTGTACAGTGAATCGCCGATTCACTGTACGGAATCGGCGAGTCCGTACAGTGAATCGACGATTCCGTTTTACGGTTTTTTTTTTTTTTTTTTTTTTTTTTTTTTTTTTTTTTTTTTTTTTTTTAGTTTATCTATGTATTAGTATTTTTTGTTAATACTTGATTAGTATTTTTTGAATCCATGACCGTAATTTGTTTTTAGTTTTTTGTAATCCA